AACTTGAAATGCTCCTGCCTCAGCCTCCCAAGTCACTGGTTACAGGCATGTGTAACAATGCCCAGTTCAAGCTTTCTTGAATAACAATTTCTATTGCCTAAAATTGCCTAAAATTCAGGACATCTGAAGAGCAAGAAGTTGAACAATGAACCCTAGTCATTAGTGTCTTAACTCTTGCTTTTCCTCTGTACCTCCTATATAACTTGGGGATGAAGTAGAGGGAAAATAAGGAGAAGACTAATAGAATAGACAAACAAGTATAAAGGGAAAAGAATGACTCCCATCAAAGAATTCAAGTTGAATTTCATCTTGTCCAAGAATTTTGTCTTTCCAATACATGTAGAGCTGCATGGTAGAGATAATTGTGGAATCCCAGAGAAAACGATTAATATTGATTCTGCTGATGTATAATAGAGGACTCAAAAGGGAGAATTGCATTAAAAACTGTGATAACATTTTAAGGCCTAGTCATTTATGGAATTATTTCTTTTATTTTAAACTATCAAAATCATATGTAATTAAATATGATTTAGTTTTTATTACAATACTAAACTCTCTGCTTGTGTGCTGAATTTTTGTAGTTGAAATAAGTACTATTGTCTGCTTATCACTCCCTCATGTTATCCATAGAGAGGAACCTTGGTATCCAGATTATAGACGTCAGCTTTTWTAACTTTGTGTTGTTTATTATATATACAGGTATGATCTGTCTTGAAATCGTATTAGGTGTCTGCCTTTCTCTGGGTGCATTATAATTAGGTGACTGCCTTTACCTCCAGGTGACTAATCAGAATACAGAATGCCCTCTTTGTGATTAAAATCTCAATATTTGAGGTTTTTCATTATTGCATTTAATATTCAGAAATTCTTTTTTAAAAAAATTTTTTCCCTTAGTTGTAGTTGGACACAATACCTTTATTTTATGTATGTATGTATTTATTTATTTATTTTCTGTGGTTTAGAGGATCAAACCCAGCGCCTTACATGTGCTAAGCGAGTACTCTACCACTGAGCCACAACCCCAGCCCCTGATATTGAGAAATTCTCATATTAGAGTTAACTGATCTTAATCCTTTATTTTCTTCTTGGTAATAATGCTGAAGTTTTTGGTAAACCTTATAAACATTATTTACAATTATGGATCTAGTTTCAATTACTGATTAATCTTTTTTAAGGCAAAATAAATATTGGCAATTATAAGGTTGAACTGTTCTTAGACCATGTCAAATTTGAGCAGTATTCATTCTTTAGATTTTTATCACTGTAGTGGCTTTCAGTTTAGATTTTAGAATGCATGCAYAGTACCCAAAAGTTACCCAGAGGTTCACCTGCTTAAAATTTTAGGTTGGGTGTAGAGTATGCATACTTACTTCCCTAATTATCCTGAGCATAGTTCTCTCTCATCTTTCTCATCTGCTCTTGAAAAATGAATCACACTGATARGGAGATGTTTGGAAACTTAGAGACATCTGAGAAGCACTTCTAACAGTCTCAGAAATTCAGTTATTTACATACATTAGTTCTAAGATTCTTTTCTAAAATGTCTTCAAAAATTCTCTTTTTAGTTAATTTGGTTTATGCAATGGGAAATGTGTACAATTTTCAGCTATTAAACTGTTTTGATCTGTAGAATTAGTTTGAATCTGAATAAATTAAAACAAAATTCAAATCCCTTGAACTATTTTCAAATCCATTGTATTCAGTTGTTACATCAGTCCTAGATAGATTTATCAGCTACTTGGGACCCTAAAAATATTTTGAACTCTAGATAGAAACAAATTTCTTGAGCATTCTAATTAGCTGCATTAAAAATACTGAAATGTCCTCTTTGGGCTTGTACTTAGTATTAAATAAATAAGGATGGATAATTCTTTGCACTTGAAGAAATTCAGCCTTGGTTACTGCCCCCATAACATGCAGAAAATCATAGTAACAAAGTTTACATTAAAATTGTGGAAACTGGGGCTGGGGCCACAGCTCAGTGACAGAATGCTTGCCTAGTGTGCATGAGGCACTGGATTCGATCCTCAGCACCACATAAAAAAATAAACAAATATTTTTTTATCTACAACTACAGGAAAAAAAAAACAACTACTGTAGAAACTGTACTTACCAGCCTTTTACACAAATATAAACTGTTGAAAAACTTTTTTTCTTTTATTGCAGGAACTCTCCTCTGGCATGTAAACTGAATCTTCCCATGTTTAGACAAACTTCTTAAATTCTGTAGCTGGCAGGTTAGGCCATAGGATTTACTATAATATGTGGAAATAATGAATTCTCTTGTTTTTGGTTGCTACAGGTTTCAGACTGAATGCATTTGCGTGGCATGCAGCATGTTAAAATGCCTCTGCTTTTTAAATATAAGAGTTTATTAAGATTGGGTTTACTTTTATTTCAGTATCTGACTTAAGAGCTATTTCTTTTTCTTTTCTGTTTATATAGAGTGCCGATTTTGCTGTAGGTGTCGTCTATTACCACTCATTCCTTTTCTTTCTCTTCTGTCTTGATTTCCTTTTGCTCATGGCATACATCTTGGCTCTCAGGTCACATGAGTTAATTTATAAGAATTTCTCTCCAAGCCTGGAGCGGTGGCACACGCCTGTAATCCTAACAGCTTGGGAGGCTAAAGGAAGATGTATCGCAAGTTGAGAGCCTCAGAAACTTAACAAGGCACTTAGCAACTCTCAGTGAGACCTGTCTCTAAATAAAATATTTAAAAGGGTTGGGGATATGACTCAGTGGTTAAGCACTCCTGGGTTCAATCCTCAGTACCAAAAAAAAAAAAAAAAAAAATTCTCTCCAAGAAGAATATTGCTTTTCTTTTGCTTTGTGAATTGGCTAGTCAAAGCATGTCATGATAACCTTCCTGTTTGCCTGTCTGTATTTCCTTAGTGGTTGCTCATATACTGATTGTTTTTGCCTAAGAAGATAACTTGGCAGTTCTTTATTTTTTTGGCACTTTAAGAGCACTATTCTTCTTGTTGATAAAGAGACTTGGGGGAGGGTGGGGGGACTGCTTTAAAAAGTAATTGTGGCCAGGGAATAATCTCTAGAGACATTGCTTGTGTTCTTAATGCAAATACCATTCTGATCAAAAGAGCTTTTTATGGCAAAATGAATACTCCAAATTAAATCCCCATTCTGTGAGATTTGTAAATTCCCATTCTAGACATCTACAATATGTTGTGCAAATGCATATGATATAATAAATTATTGCTTATACTTATTAAATAAAATTTCATTTAAAAAACTAATTGTGGACAGACTAAAAATGTGGAACTGGAACTGCAAGACTATTGTGCAGTTATTTCTTTATACAGAGCAATACTTTTAGTAAAAATGTAAAGAGTACAGTAGGTCTGATACATGCAATTGAGATAAATGGCATTGGTAGAATGTAGCTATTCAAAGGCAAAATCCTTCTAGAGTGTCTTTTGTAATTGGGTAGGACAAATAACTTTGATTTCTCTTACTTTAAGGCTTTATTTTTCAGCTTTATTTTAACCTTTAAAAAAAAAAAGCGGGAATGGAGGTATATAACCAGAATTTTAAAGGAAAAGAGAAAATTWAAAAAAAAAGTTCATGCAAGTATGGAAAAATCATACTTTTGAAATAATCCTTTTTCTCTTATATATTAGCTTCAGCCAAGAAAATTAGTTCTTTGTGTTAGTATATCTAAAATTTTGGAAGACTACAAATTGTATGAAAATACTGCTTTATTAAAATGTAAATATTTGTAAAATTGTAATAAATATTTGTAACTATAGCTTAAAAATATTTACAAATCTTATAGTGAATTCCTCTCACATTCAAAACATGGGCATACTTTTCTCTCTCCATAAAGACAAAACAAAACAAAATGTATGTGAAGAACAATATGTATTTTATGAGTTTCTGTCATAACTTAATATAGGACACATACTTAACTGATATTCTGCTACATTTGATAGTTTGTAAGGGCTGAGAGATGTAAGTCTGTTTTGGGAATTATTAATTTGTACCTGATGAGATTTATAAAAGTCTCATCAAACCTACTGAATCTACCTGTTAAAGTAAGAACCCTGAATTTGTGTTTTTAGTCAGATCTTCCAGTAATGTTTGTTTTTTTCTTTTCATGGTGAGATCAGTAATTAAGAATTACTGGGCTAGGGATATAGCTAAGTTGGGAGAGTGCTTGCCTTGCATGCACAAGGCCCTGGGTTCAATCCCCAGCACCACCACCAAAAAAAAAAAAAAAAGATCCTGGTGAATTGCAACAGTACTAACATATAAACATTACTTAAAGACTGGTGGGTTACATAAATTTAACTTTTATATAAAACTAATTTTGCTGGGGATCTAGATTCAGTGGCAAAGTGCTTGCCTGGCATGAATGAGATCCAAGGGTCAATCCCTAGGACTGCAAAAATAAATATCTCACTCTTGAATTTTTATGTACTCCTTAAAGGAAAGGTAGAGAAAAATAGCAAGTAATTGGGAGATTCATTCAACCTTGTTGGTGAATAGCCAGATGTGTGAGGGAAGTTGGAATATACTGAAGTTATTTCCTTTTGCATATATACCTCAGGTGTGAGCGTTGTTGCAGGTAGTAGGGGGCATTCCTACTACCTGTAATTAATACTGCCTCAAAATTGAATTCTTTTGTTGGGAATTTTAGTGTATGATTTTTATATACAGAGAATAATGAGTAGAATTTGAAAAACTGTTCTTTCACTAGTGAACAAATACATTGAAATTTAAAAATTTTAAAGGGAATTTATGAAAAGTAACTGAAATGTAAAATAATTCAGCCCCTCCCAACAACATGTTCATTCATTCATTGAAACTAGTTCTTACTAAGTTAATGAAAATAAATAATTAGTTGTTTATCCTTTTCCTGGGACTGATTTTGGTGTGTTTGTTTTTATTTTTTAATCAAAACTTGTTATATGTGGAGAATATTTAGTTTTTGGTAGTAGAGGATATTTGAGTGTTAATGGAATTTTATTCTTTCTTAGGTCATGTTTACTGGTGAAAATATTCCTGTTCATCCTCATGTTTATAGCAATGGTCATATCTGTTTATCCATTCTAACAGAAGACTGGTCCCCAGCGCTCTCAGTCCAGTCAGTTTGTCTTAGCATTATTAGCATGCTTTCCAGCTGCAAAGAAAAGGTAGGACTTTTCAGAATTATTCCAGGTAATATTTCTTCTTTCAGTTTAGGTAGATTAACAATTTTAATACATAATTACTTTTATTTGAAGGAAAGACTCATGTTTTTTGTTTTAAAATTATAGGGAATGTCATATTTAGTAATAAATTAGAAAGTTATTTTGATTATCTTTCATTCCACATATGAAGTTTCAAATAGAAATTTTAAACATTATATGGGCTAGGAGTCAGATTTACTGTTTTATGTTTTAAGAAAATTTGTGCACATGTTATTAAATAATCTGAATTTTATTTCCATAAGCATGCATGAGGCAAAGTGTACAAGAAATTCTTATTTCTAGATTTCCCAATGGAAAACCCAGAAATAAGTATAGTTCCTGTCACCTCTTTGCCAGCTCCCATTCTCTCAGCCTTTTAGGGTATTTCCCAGAGATCAGAACTCTACTATCCAAATKATTAGGTTGAATGAAAAAGCCCGTTACTATTAGAATTTTCAGGACTTTCCTTCTCTTCTCCCTACTCCCTTTCTCTACAGACTTGTATTTCTTGTGGAGGTGGGGAAAAGCCCAGAATGAAAAATCTCATGAGTTAAATTTAGCATACGCTTTAAAGTTATCTGAATCCTGTTTCTGGCCCTCTTATCATTTCTGCTTAAGGGTTAGTGTAGCTTAATATTTATATATTTGTACATTTTAAAGTCTCTTTTCCACAAGGGTTTTCTTTTGTACTGCTAAAAAGAGGAACAGRTTTGCCTTAGACTGTGTTTAGCATTTTTTCTCCTCTCTTCTCCAAATTAAACTGATGGACTGCTGGTTTTTTATTAGCATTTAGAGAACCTTTAAGWTAAATAGTTATTTTTAAAATGATAATTTATGAAGAATCTGAAACATTTTTAAGCCACTGTTTCACAAAGTGACTTTTTGGAATGTTAGGTCCATAAGAAGTTTCTTGATGTTCAATTTAAAAAACAAAACCATTCTTTGTTTAAATAATGGGAAATAATGGATTGAATTGTATTTTTTAATTATGGGATTAAGAGCCCTTTATATTTTTATGTTTCATATAAGAAAAACACTGGCAAACTATGACACCATAATTAAAAGACATATATCCCTATTTAGGAATATTAAAGTGTACAGAAAAAAAAACATATCTTAGATGAAATAAGGCGTATATACCTAATATTAACACACACACCTCCCCCCAGTACTGAGGATTGAAAACAGGGGTTCTATACCACCAAACTACATTCCCAGCCCTTTTTTATTATTCATTTTTAGATAGGTTCCCTCTAAGTCACCCAGGCTGGCCTTGAACTTGGCTGTCATCTCAATCCTGAGTCCCCAGAATTGCAAGCATGCAGCACTGAGCCTGGCTTAATGTTACTTTTTAACTTCATTTTCCTCTTTGTTGTGGGTTTTTCTAAGCTGCAATTTTAAAGCTGCAATTGAGCTTTTGTTAATTTTGTTATCAATTATTTTTCATTTCTTGCTTTCATATTTTCTCTTCTCTTCACCCACCCCCCAACACACATGTGCACACATTTTAAATTTATGTGCAGAGCACTTTGCAGCTAAAGGGCTCTATTTCTTTTATGCTTAATGGCCATAAGAAAGTTAGGTGAGTAACTGTAGGATTTAATTTAAAAAGTTACTAAGACTTGATGAACAGTGGTATCTGCACATAGCTCTTGCAGGGGCCTTGTGATTGTTAAGTTCTGTTTATATTTAATTGTACTGATTTCCTCTTAAAAACCAGAGCATGGTACCTCTTTTACATCATTCCTTTCATTCTAATTGTCTGCTACTAGTGCTTCTTGCATACTTAGTACAAGACTAATCATTTAGTTGGCATGGTGGCGCATGCCTATAATCCCATGGCTTGGGAGGTTGAGGCAGGAAGATCACTAAATTCAAGTCAGCCTCAGCAATTTAGTGAGTCCCTAAGCAACTCAGTGAGCCCCTGTCTCAAAATAAAATATAGAAAAGGGCTGGGGAATGTGGTTTAGTAATTTAGCCCCCCTGCATTCAATCCCCAGTACTAAAAAAAAAAAAAAAAAAAAAAAAAAAAAAGACGAATCATTTAAATTATTGATAAACTTTAAGTAGAATCTTTTCTATAATACATTTATCCAAGATGATAATCTAGAAGTCAGAATTTTTGTGATATATTATACAATTCAACAAATGTTTATTAAGTACTTACTGTTTTTATTTTGCAGTGTGCTAGATTTCTATGAAAGGAAATAGCAATATAATTTTATAATACTGATTTTTTTTTTTTCTGGGAGTTTTCTCAAATTTACCAACAGGGAAGTGTTGGGATAGTTTAACATCTGTGCTCTAATGTTCTTTTGGGGTTATTTATTTATTTATTTTTATGTGGTGCTGAGGATTGAATCCAGGGCCTTGCACGTGCTAGGCAAACAACACTCTACTGCTAAACCACAACCTAGGCCCCCTTTTTATACACACACACATATATATAATTTTTTTTAAGTTGTTAATGGGCCTTTATTTTATTAATTTATTTACATGCGGTGCTGAGAATCGAACCCAGGGCTCACATGTGCTAGGCAAGTACTTTACCACTAAGCCACAACCCAAGCCCTCAAATGTTCTTTCTCTATCAAATGAAATTACTATTAATATAAACTCATAAGGACATTATGAGGCTCAACTAAGATGATAGTTATATATGTGGATTTTAGAAGTGTCAGATTAACTGCTTTTCTGCTATATAGGTAGTTGTTCTTACCATTGCTTTCTCAGTGGACTTTCTGTAAATGATGTCTCTTTTGATTAGCCTCATAAAGAATTCCCTTATATTTCATTTTATTAGCTTAGCTAAGCAGAAATTAAGTCTGAAACTGCAAAAGAAATCATTGTCGTAATAGTTCTGAAAGTAGACAAAAGGAAGCTAATGAATGAGGATATCTGTCATATGATTTATAAACATTCCCTTGATAACTTTAATAATATAAATTTGACATGTTTCCAGATCTTTTTAGAAAATCTCATATTTCTTTTGTCTAGTTACTATCCAACAGTTTGCAGGAAAAATCTCTTCCATAATCTACTTTGAGTGTTGTTGACATCATTATTTCTGACGTTCTCTTTCCATTTGTTGCTCATATTATTTCAGTCTGTAAATATGATTAACAGGTCAGTGTCTTGATCTTTGGGTCTGTCTTTAGTGATATGATGTTACAAGAAAGTAATAAACCTTTGTGAAGGTTTATAGATTGCTATAGTTCTTCAGACAACCTTAATTAGTCTTTATTGTTTTAATTAGTTTGTAAAAGTAATTATTACATAGGGAAGTAAACTGTAACAAATTTGGCTTCAAATATCTTATTATCTTTCTTTTGGTTGATGGGCGTTTTCCAGTRGAACCTAACCCAGAACACATAAATACAACACTATTCTTTTTGTTCGGTTTTTTTTTTTGTTTGTTTTGTAGCAATTTAGGTGTCAAAAGTCCACATTTCCAGAATACATTTATAGTTTTTATTGTTTCAGTTATGCTGTCAGGTTTATATTGTTTTTACATATTCCTTAATAATTTTGCTACGCTTTTATTAAAACTATCTCCCCTTTAGTTATTCTATTTTAGAACTTACCTACTTGAACTCCTGTTTTTTTTTTTTTGTTTCAGAGAAGACCACCAGATAATTCTTTTTATGTGCGAACATGTAACAAGAATCCAAAGAAAACAAAATGGTGGTATCATGGTAAGCAGTTTTAATTTGTAATGATAACTTTTAGTATTTTGATTTAAAAGAGTATATATCTGTTTTTCTAAGAGATGGAAAAATGAAGATATAACTGATATATATTTGTAATATGAACAATAGTTTTTTAAAGTATTGCAAGATATTTTATGGATAAGTTAGACTAGATTTTTAGTAGAACAAACAAAATCATAGCCATCATGTAAGTAAAATAAGGCATTATAGTAACTTTCTGACACTATTTTACTGCACAAAGGAAGTCCTTAATAATCTTTATATCAACTAGAACCTAGCTATTAGAAACTTGTCATTAAAGGTAGATTTTTTTTCCCTTTTTTTTTTTWAATTTTTTTTTTTTTGCAGAAAGGATTAAACCCAGGGCTTTGTGTGTGCCAAGGAAGTAATTTTGATGCCTTGTGTACTTAATTCTGTTACTCTTAATAGTTTGGCGGGTGGGGTGGGTTGGATGTCATGTTAAATTAAATAAAGCTTTCTGGATTGTATTATCCCTAAAAAAAAAAAAAAAAAAAGTTGGGCTGAATCTCAACATCGTATACATCCGCAAGACTGGGATCCTAATTAGAATAAGATATACCCCATGATTGTATAAATATCTCTACATAGAATCTACTATCATGTATAACTAAAAAGAAAAAGTTTTGTCAAAAAAGTTGAGGTCTGATAATTTGACCTTTGTTAAGTACTCAATAATTTTAAGTGTCTRTTGTTCCTAATTCAGAACTGCTAGAATCATTTCTAAACTAATCTCAGTGCTTCCTGAAAGAGGTATTTTAAATTAAAAGCAAAAAGTTGATATTCTTCTATGTGCTATTTTTCATGGGGTGCAGTGAGGGTTTATTCAATTATAGGGCCTTATGCCTGCTGGACAAATCTTTTATCATTGGGCACTAGCCTTCTCAGTGTACTCTTTGAAGCAAGTGATTAAAAATCACTCTGTGTGGTTTTGTATACAAAAAAAATTATTTGTTTTCCCAATTGTTGGTGGTTATGGTGGTTTTTGGTTTCCGGAAATCAGAATTGGCAAAATTAACAGGAATGTGCCCCTTCTCCCCTTATCTTTCCATATAGTGTGAAACCTTCTCTACCCTCACATAAAATGATTGAATTTTAAACTTGAGTTCTCCAAGTGTTTAAATAGAGTCAGTGTAGTGGCACTATGCCAGCAGTTAAAAATTAGAAAATATAGTGAAAGAATAATGCCATTCATGGGAGCTACACAAATATCAAAACTTGGGATAATGCTAATGAGAAATACTTGGGACCTAAAAAAAAAAAAAGAAAAAAAACTTTTTAAGAACTATAAAAAAAGCTGAGATACTTTAATGAGAAAACATACTGTTCTTAAAAAAATGTAATTTCAGTAAGAGTCTAGCGGAATGATATGCATTGGTTTTTTAAAATTTTGGAAAAATAAATGTAAGAGCAAAGCTTGAAGTTTGAACTATAAAGGTAACAGAGGAGAATTTATCAGGTACTGAAACATTAAAACTAGATCTTTGGGACTGGAGTTGTGGCTCAGTGGTAGAGTGCTTGTCTTACATACGTGAGGCACTGGGTTCAACACCACATAAAAGTATTGTACCCATCTACAACTAAAAAAAAAAAAAAGGTCTAAAAAAATATGTAGATCTTTAGCTGGGGTGGTTTGTGGCTCAGGGGTAGAGCTCTCCCCTAGCACATGTGAGACCCTGGGTTTGATCCTTAGTACTACTTAAAAATAATAAAGGTATTGTGTCCTACGATACCACCTACAACTAAACATATATATTTATATACATAGAGTAATTCTATACAATAATTATATATTTAGACTCTGTTGTATATTGAGATTTGTTGAATGCATTAAAAATCACTGAAAAGGGGAAAGATTATTTAGTAATTAGGTTATTTTAAATCATCTGGGAAGGAATAAATTTAAATTTTTACTTCATATATAAAATATTTCTTATGAATCATTTTTTTTAATATAATAAAGGAGGGGCTGGAGTTGTGGCTTAGTGGTAGAGCACTTGCCTAGCATGTGTGAGGCACTGGGTTTGATTCTCAGCACTGCAAATAAATAAATGAATAAAATAAAGGTCCATCAAAATCTAAAAGTTTTTTTAAAAAAAAATATAATAAAGGAAAAAATTGGGCTTTTTGGTTTTGTTTTGTTTTAATAGGTGTGTATGTGTGTTTCGTTTTTGTTTTTGTTTCTTGTTGTCAGTACTGGCAATTGAGCCCAGGCTCTTGCTCATGCTAAGCAAGCACTCTTACATGGGTTGTACACCCCCTAGCCCATTTTATTTTTTGAGACAGGACCTCACTAAGTTGTCCAGGGTGGCCCTGAACTTGCAATCCCCCTCTGATTCATCTTTCCAGTAAGTTGGAATTTATAGGCATGTACTGCTGTGCTCAGCAGAACGATGCATTTTTATTAAATTACTTATTCTAATTTGTTATACATGATGGCAGAATACAATTTATTTCATGTTACTCATATAGAGTGCAATTTTTCAAGTCACTGATTGTACACAAAGTATTTTCACACCATTCTTATACATGTACTTAGGGTAATGATGTCTAATTCATTCCACTATCATTTCTACTTCCTTGCCCCCTCCTTTCCCCTTCCTCCCCTTTGCCCTATCTAAAGTTCCTCCATTCCTCCCATTCTTCCCACACACCATCGCCATTATGAGTCAGCATTCTGATATCAAAGAAAATATTCGGCCTTTGGTTTTTTGGGATTGGCTTACTTTACTTAGCATTATATTCTCCAACTTCATCCATTTATCTGAAAATACCATGATTTTATTCTCTTTTAATGCTGAGTAATGTTCCATTGTGTATTTATACAACAAAGTTTCCCCATCCATTCCTCTACTGAAGGGCATATGGGTTGTTTCCATAATTTAGCTATTGTGAATTACGCTGATAATAAACATTGATATGGCTGTGTCCGTGTAGTATGCTGTTTTTAAGTCCTTTGGGTATAAACTGAGGAGTGGAGATAGCTGGGTCAAATGATGGTTCCATTCTAAGTTTTCCAAGGAATCTCCATACTACTTTCTAGATTGGCTGCACCAATTTGCAGTCCCACCAGCAATGTATGAGTGGGCCTCTTCTCCCACATCTTAAGAGTAAGAAAATCTTACTTTAAGGGAATCTTAGAGTAGTTTTGATTTGCATTTCTCTAAAGAACAATGCATTTTTAAAAGCATATTTTTAAAGTACAACCCTCTCTCCAATCTCACCCTATTGTTAGAGGGTACTATTCCTGTTTTTCCTTCCTCACTGCCCAAAAAAGGAATTTTTAAAAAGATAAAATGTTTTCAAATACCTTTTAGTTGTTGGTGAACGTTGAATGTTCAAAATATTGAGTTTTTTCTTTTCTTTTTTTTTTTTTTTTTAAGTACCAGGGATTGAACCCAATGGTACTTAACCACTGAGCCACATCCCCAGCCCTTTTTTTTATATTTTATTTAGAGACAGGGTCTCACTAAGTTGCTTTAGGACCTCATTAAGTTGCTGAGGCTGGCTTTGAACTCATGATCCTCCTGCCTCAGTTTCCCAAGCCCCTGGAATTACAAGCATGCACCACTGCACCTAACTGAGAAGTTTTTTTTTTTTTTTTTTTTTTGGTACTGAGGATTGAACCCCCAGGGTCCTCAACCACTGAGCCACATCCCCAGCCCTTTTTTATATTTTGTTTAGAGACAGGGTCTCACTGAGTTGCTGAGTGCCTCGCTGTATTGCTGAGGCTGCCTTTGAATTTGCAATCCTCCTGCCCCAGCCTCTGGAACCCCAGGGATTACAGGCGTGCACCACAGTCCACGGCTGAGAAATCCTTTATCAAAGAATACTTTCAGAATTTCTTCTTACTTGCTTTTGAATAAGAAGTTGGGAAAGGTCATATAGTGAAAAAATAAATACAAGAATTAAGTTCTTAAAAAAAATAAGTCCTTAAAATGATGTACAATTCATAGTAGGATTTTTTTACATTTATCTGTTACTGAGAAATCTGTGCTTTCCCAACTAAGATACAAGGTGTATTTTTTTTTTAATTACCTCAGGGATACATAATCTTCTATGTAAGCCAGGTACCCGCCCCCAAAGAAGCTTCAAACTAAATGAACTACTTATATAATGTAAAATAGCCTGTGTGTATACAGGAATTAATATTGTCAATAATACTTTTTATTCCCAATATAAATTAGCCATTTTTACAAGGCATTGGATTTTAAAAAAAAATTGTAGCTGTCTATGGACAGAATGCCTTTATTTGTTTATTTTTATGTGGTACCAGTTCCTCACATATGCTAGACAAGTGCTCTGCCACTGAGCTACAGCCCCAGCCCAAGGCATTGGATTTTAATTCACCTCAATGTAATTATTCTAGTTCATTCTCCAATCCCAGGTGTGTGTGTGTGTGAGTGTGTGTAATTTTTTTTTCATTTACAAATAATTGTGTTTAAAATATCCTTGGTTTGTTGACTTACAGTGACTTTATTGTCTCCAAATATATTTTCTGTTCCTGCCGGAACCCTGAATACCTAAGTTATTCACTGCCAGCATTACCCCTTTAAGGGACAAATTTGTTGCTTAAATGAGTTTCATATGCAAACAAGGAACAATAATATTTGTAATTCACCAAGATGGTAGAGCCGCTGTTGATGTCATCCAACTAGGATGGCTGTAGAGAAAAGAAAAAAAAAAAACTCAGGCATTTCAACTGTGTAGCACTTTATTGTCTACAATCAGAATGGCACAGTTGTAAGCTATATGAATAAGAGCTTATCTTAGCATTATAGTTGAATCTGGATAATTTATCAAGAAGGTAGTCATAGTCTTAGAAAGCATAACCCATCAGCTTTTATTTTAATACACACACACACACACACACACACACATTTAGTTGTTGATGGACCTTTATTTATTTGTATGTGCTGCTGAGACTCAAACCCAGTACCTCAAACATGCTAGGCAAGCGCTCTGCCACTGAGCTACAACCCCAGCCTGTCAGCTTTGTTAATTAAAACTTTTCGGATGTCAGCTGGGTACAGTGATGCACACCTATAATCCTCCTGACTATGAGGCTGAGGAAGGGTAATGGCAAGTTCAAAGCCAGCTTCAGCAACTTAGGGTCTCTGAAGAGCTGTGGGTATAACTCAGTGGTAGAGTACCTCTGGATTCAATTCCCCACCCTCCAAAACAAAAAAACAAAACCAGAGATTGAACAAAAGCTTACTTGGAATTAGATAAACTCATTGGAACACTTAGCATTTCAGTTTCTRGAAACTAAATGGAGTTGTATGTCTGAGGTATCAGGCTCCACAGTTGTCCTACATGGTGTTAATCACAGGATGGAGACACTCTTAAAAATATGAATTCATTGCCTCCTGGTCGTATAAGAGGAAGACAGCTTTTATGCCAAAGTTGAGCTGTTAGATACCAGGATTGGGTTCTTAGAAAAAGCCTCTTTCAGTGTGAATTTGTGATGCATATTATTAATTAGTATCCCTTGAAAATTAGGTCAAGCCTGGTACCATAATGTTACTATGCATATTTCTTTCAAGGTTTTTTGATACAATGTATTAAAGTTTAAAAAGTATAACCAATATTAGTGCTGAGAGTCTTTGGATATAAAAAGTTGCATTTGTCGGTGAGTATACTTTCCTTAATTGTTATTTACTTGACATTTACTATCAAGGTATTTTCCAGAAGTCTTACTATTTCTGTTCACTGAGGAATTAATATCATATATGCATTGAAATGAAGGTATTATGTGTTGCTACTAAAGGTAGGGGTCCRTATGCTTTGAAAAATCAATTGCTCAGAGAAAATGGGGTTTTAAAAAAAGCTAACTAAAATAGGTTTATGAAATAGATAATTCACTTCAGCATACAAATGAACTGAGAAATTTACTAGTGATTCAGACTTAGAATCTTCCTTAGAAAACAGGGCCTCATCTGATTGAGTGTACAAAAGAATGAATGATTGAGGTCCCAAAGTTATATATTAAAATAATTGTTCTTGATAAAGGTACAAATTATCTTTTTGTTAAACCATAAATATATATCAGTTAGGTAAGCCAAATAGAATCCATTAATAACACAAGCCATTTGTTTTCTGGGGCCAGTATTCAACATGTTTAAGCTTAGTTTCATGAGCAATTGCTTTCCACAGACAGCAACCCACATCTGTGATTCTTGGAGCACTTTCCTTAAAGTGATTAAAAAGTTGGAACATTGGTCAGTTTCAAACTATAGCTTAAGGTTGTTATTGAGTATTGACTTCAGAAGCCTCGTTTTTTAGGAAATAAATTGGAATAGTGTCTAAATAGCACATCTAGCCAACTGATAAATCTCTAATATGTCAAGGAGTAGAGCAATATCTTTTTTTTTTGTTTTGTTTTGTTTTTTAAACCACGGACTATATTCTATGTAGAATATTCATTTATATGCAGGAGCATAAAATTATCTCAAATTGGTAGAATTAAACTCCTTTTCTTCCCGCCTTATACCTTCTGTCCTAGATTTACCTATATTATAAATCTTTTGGTTCTACCCTTTAAGGTTATAAAACCACTTATTAAAATTTTTCAGGCCAAACTTAAAACAGTTTGTACCCTCTGCTCCTGCTGCATAGAGATTCTATTATCTGCCTACTCTGAATCAGTTCATGAAAGACAGCTTTAATTCCCTGAATTCTTGAGAGACAAAAAATAACTATAAATATAGTTTCTTTCTTGGTGGCAGCATCCCATTAATATCTACTGACCTATGTTACTGTGTTTCTTTTTTTCTAATCTTGTGTCCCAGGGAGTGTATATGGAGATTAGTTTCCTGTGTATACTCTGGGGAAAACTTGAATGACCATTCTTATCTAATACAGCTTTCTCTCTCATTTGTATTTCCCAGAAGCACAATGAAGTTAGGTGTATTAAAGGTTACTTCTTTGGAACTTACAATTTGTATATTTGAGAATGCAATTTTAGTAGGAGCTTCTATAATTTCAGAGAAAATCAAAATCATTAATAGGTGATTTTATTTTTCTAGCTATTAGCTTGTTCACAGATACTTTAGCTAAGAGGCTAAAAATATTATGGTCTTTTATAACTTTTTGTAGATCTATGTTTGTCTTGMTCTAAGGTGGATTTACTCCAGCTTTTTGTGTGATAGTCCTGGTGTCTAATAATCATTTCATCTAGGTACAAACTGTTCTTTGTAGTCACAGATGAGCCCCATCCCCCTCAGTTGTGGCCCTTTTATTTAGGGAAAGGATGGCCATGGCTTTGAATCATACCAGTCTCTGTACTTAGTTTATTTGTGAACTCTTGATTACACATAGTCATCATGGATTAATAATCCTACAAATCCCTTTGGGTCCTGGTGTCAGATCATAGGACTGTATCTTCAGAACATATTTATTAAGTTTCTTTCCTCAAAGCTAGGGTATTTATTTAAGGCAGATAATATGATGTCAATCCTAAATCTCCTTTCAACATCTGACCCAAGATGGAGATTGGGATATGAAGAATAGCTTCACAGAGATTTCCTAGTCATTTTGGTAGCACATTCTGCAAAAGCCTGTCTACTGAAAACTTTCACAATGAACTATCTAATAAATAAAAATACCTTAATGTACCACCTACCAAAAATGGTATGTTTGGGGGGGATACAAGCTTAGTTGTGATTAACTAGATAACATTATGTTCAAATTGAATTTTGTCATTTAATTCTTAACTGTGTACATTGTCATCTGTTATCTTAAAGTTTATCCTAGTAGCTTGACATTCAGTAGAATTCAGTACCATCTTTTAGCATAGAGACTGAAGAATGATAAATTAGTAGTATTAATTTCGAGAAACTTTGTGCTTCAAGATATTTTATTGGAGACATGAAGTTTTAAAAAATTTCATTTTCTTACATTTGTTCTACGTCTATATTCCAAATTCCCAGTAATTTTAAGAAACATTCTTACACATGCAACTTAAAGGATAGAAACTGCCTACTATTTTCTTAAATGTTATTTTAAGTTTAAAGGGTTCTAATGAATTAGATATTTTTGCTTATTATTTATTTTGCTCATGGGGATTGAACCCAGGGCCTTCTTTCTTGTGCTGGACATGTGCTCTGTCACTAAGATATCCCTAACCTTACAATTTTTTTTTTTTCCTTTAGTCCTGGGATCATACTGAGAGTCTTGAGCATGCTAGGCAAGCGCTCTACCCCTAAGCTATCCACCCAGCCCCTGATTTATTTTTGAAATTTGGTCTGTTTCATCCTTTAGATTATTCACCCTTTAGATTAACCCAAAATTATGGGATTATGGAATACTCCAAGAGTTTTTCCAGCATAGCAGTGAGACTTCAGTGAGTTTTGGTTCTTGTTTAGTCTCTGAGTGAGAATTTTAATAGCAATATGTCAATTCTAACATGGAAATATTTAGTTTGTTAAATATTTTTGGTCAGTATTTTCTGAGTTTTTTTTTTTTTTACAGCTTACAATACTCTCCTGTCGTTGCCACCAGTCTTCCTGCTTTCTGAAGAATATCTTTTGGATGTGTTTTGTGAAATAATTTTATAAAATATATCATGAGTTTAAAAAAATTGTCCAYGTTACATTTAATATAATGTGCTGAGGCAACCAGAAGTTAATTACAAAATAATTCTGTGAGATTTTTTTTTTMTTTTAATTTTTTTATAGTTGTAGATGAAGAACATGCCTTTATTTTGTTTATTTTTTATGTGGTGTTAGGGATCCAAACCAGTTCCTCACATGTGCTAGGCAAGCACTCTGCCACAAAGCCCCCAGCCCCTTCTGTGGGATTCTAAAGTGACCACTGCATGCATATATGTATGATAAATATATATATTTATATATATATATATTTATATTTATATATACATATATATGTATACTTTATATGTATACATATATATACTTGCTGAGAATTTATTTTCTAAAGGGAAATTAATAGCATTAATTTTCTATTGATTGATTTGGAGATCATATCTCATTGGTGAAAAAGTTTATATTACCTCATTCTAAAGACACAGCTTACATTCAGTTAAATAGCATTGCAGGTATTTACTTTCTGTCTCGTTACAATTTTATTGCCTATAAAAGAATTCTCTTAAGATTGCTACATCTTGAATATATGTTAACATAATGGTTTCAACTTGTAAGCATATTAGTTCTATATAAAGTAATAATACATTATTTTAAGGTTTGTGCAAACTTTTATACTAAAGGAATAAAACMTATCACTGTATAATTGAACACAAATTGGACTTTCTGTTAGACTAACTTGTAGATTTTGCTTATGCGTTCTTTTTAATTATCTTTTTTCTCCTTTTCTTAAAGATGATACTTGTTGATGCCACTGTTATCCTCCTCCTAGCAGAAGATAGTCCTACTGAGAAAATGAGCACTTTGATCATTCAGTCTTTGAACTTTAACCTTTGACTGGAAGTGACCTATAGGCAATGAAGACTACTTCCTTTTACTGCATTTTTACTCGTGTGCATTCTGGGCGCATGTTGATCGCTGGTTCAGTCCACGCAACTGACATGCTTTTATTAGTCATACAGTATTAATGCAGGTGTCAGGAAATGTCAAATATAATTCCATTTTTTATTTTTATTTTTTTAAGCTTTTGGAAAAGTTCCAGGTCCTCATGTATTGTGCAATAACAATGACTTCCTTGGTGGTTTTGGGACGTTCATTGCCGGCAATGGACGTTGTAACAGGAAAAGTTTTCATTAACTCCTGCCACTCAATGATTAATGCATGATAGGGCCTATGAAATGAACTTTTATCAGCTATGGTGGGATTATAAATAAAGTGAGGGATCCAACATTACTTTGAAAGTCACCCCAACTGTTTATATTTGGATTCTATGCACTGTGATCCTAAGGTTAACAGCATGAATTAACATGCGTCTTTAAAGGACTGTAATGAAAGATCATTGCATATTTATTTAATTGTTTATATCTGCTGTCAAATTGTTTTGACATGGAAGGTTTTCAAGTAACATTGGCAGAGAGGTACAATATGTTATCCCTATGGTGAAAATAAATTCATTTGTTGTATATAGTTCCTCAATCTCTGAAGTAAAGGTATGAGTAATATAGGGTATGAGTGATTTAATCAAGGCTTTATTTTGGAAGTAAGAAAAATGGCAGTGATGAATAAATTGCTGCAGTCCATCATTTGGGCTTGTTATTTGTACATTAAAGATTTTTTTTCCAAGTAGATTACACTCTGTTACTTCCTGCTAGCCATCAGCATGAGCCCTACTGCCTAAACACTATTTCGTTTATTTATGTTTGGAAAATCCATAAGCATTTTTGTTTGCAATCTTGTTGCTTTTGTTACATTTTAAGTCAAGTTTGAATGTTATAGTACTTTAATTGAAAAACTTTTGTCAAGTTTTTTCTTGTAAAATTTCTTTACCTGTAAGTATCATCTTGTTCTTTGATCCTGTACCCTAAAATAAGAAATACATTTTTGACAGAGGCTTAATGTTTTAACAAAAGAGTGTGGACATTTTTATTTTAAAATTTAGGCAAAAGTACACTATAAAATGGTATGCTTGCTTATTTGTCTCACACAGCCATATAGATTTTCCTGGAGGATTTTGTTTTGTTTTCTTGTTGTTGAAAAGACTTACAGCTAGATAAAGTTTTTCTATTAAAAAAATGTTGAAAGGTCCCATTCTCAGTACCATGTAAGTTAATGATACTACAACTAGGTTCTCTTTTTAAAAAGTGATTAATGTATTTTATAAATTACCTTTTCACATATGCAAAATCTGTTTCTACTACAATGTTATTTTTACTAATGCCTTATTGTTGCACTCTTTTTGAAATATCCTTCAGTGAATTTATTAATCAATTTGGGCTTTAAAATAAAAGCCAGTTGGCTAAAAGGTCTGAAATATGTACCCCAGTAAAACCATCCAATCAATAATTGGTAAATAATATTTTAAAAATTGTTTTTAATCTCTGTGTAGATGACATTTTGTAGCTTTATACATGTTGTGAATTAAGGGCATATAATTTTACACTCTAAAAGTATAATTGCTGAACTCAGGGGTGGATAGACTTCAAAAATATGTCTGCTGTAGAAACAACTTGAAAATAGTTTTAAACCATGGCCAGCCACCAAATTGTGGACACTGTTTATACTGCTTGTTAGCAACTACCATTTAGAAAATTATAAGCATTTTTTTCTGTTTTAACTAGATACATATGTAAGTTCTCACAGTGATCACTATCAGTTTTATCAGTTGCCCTGTTTAAACCTAGTTAAAAAGACAACTTTGGATCATTCTTAGTTTTTAATAGCTTTTAACATAAAAGTTGTAGCTGTAAATTACGTATTTTCATATTTTACATAATTGCTCTAAACTACTGATTAACTTGATCTTTTTCTGGGGGAGGGGGGAGTGGGAAATCTTTCTCCATATTGCTGATCCTCTTACTAAAATCCTTTTATAAAGAAATGACCTGTGACATTTATTCACCAAAGGAATCAATATACCAGGTCAAAGAGTAACAATGTTATACTATATATTAATAGGTCTTATATAGCCTCAGTTGAGTTTTTTATAATAGTGTTTTAACATACCTCTCTCTACATAATATCATAAAAGTAAAATGAAGCAGAGGAAAGTAAAAGAAAACCAAATGATTTCGGTACATTTTCTGGCTTAAGAGAGAAGAAAATAAGATGAAATATCCTAAATATAGGAGCACCAACCATTCATAATCAGGTTAATAGTACTCCCTTGAATTTAGGAGTCATTGAAAATTCCTTTGCACTTAGATTTAATTATTTTATGTGTAAGTTACATATTAAAAGTCAAAAGACATTTAACTGAGTCATTGCTTTTCCAAGGGCAAGTAATGGCTTTGTAATAAGGAAAAAATAAAAAAATAAAAATCTCTGTAATGTGTTGTTTAAAGACAACCAAAATACCTAGAAATGTACATAGGAATATACTAATACCCTCTTCCCTCTCTGGGGCTTTAGGCCTGCAGAATATGCTTTCATACCTAGAAAATATGTATTCTTTACTTCCTTATTTATTTATTTATTTATTTTAGGCCATTCTTGTTTGCCAAATTCTGTTAAGACAGTGATACATTCAGTTCCTTTTTATGCATGCTTAGATCATGAACTTGGTGCCCTTTCAAAAAATTTTGTCAAGTAGGGATTAATGCCGTAGGTTTTATGAGAAAAGATTGTTTTCAGTTTTTTAAGGGAAATTTTTAAAAATAAATTTTGTGGCTCTTAAGGAATTAATGTTCACCTCTAAAGAACTTGTGATGTGTAATGCTTCCTTTTAGCCCGCAGGGAAATTAAGCATTTTTATACCCAGAAAAAAGTGCTTTTATATAGTCAAAAGTTCAACTGGAAAAAGATCTTAATCCTTGTTGTTTTGGTTAGTACATAAATATTTGTTATAAAGTAACTAGTTTATTACTTTTTCCCTTCAGAATTTTAAATATATGCAAATACATATACATATATATATATATATATGTCATTAGATACCTGCAGTGGATAATTGCTTCACATTCTAAAACAGGTACCTAGTGACTGCTTAATTGTTCCCAGATTGCATCAAAGATGAATTGACAAATAATGGCAATGAATAGTGATATGAAAATGGTATGTAACTACATATTGTTTCTGGTAATCAAGTCTTATTTTTTAAAAAGCCTATTGTTTTTGAGAAATGAGATATTTACAACTTGTTAAAACTTCTTCCTAAAAATAGAAGAGAAGAGGAGGTACTGTGTGTTCAAAAATTTTTTTAAATAAAGAATTCAGTGTCACTAGTTTAAGCCTTTATGGTTACTGCTGCTTATGTTTGTCTATCTCACTTTTATTAATTTTTTGTACATATCTTAGTTGAATGTTTAAAATTTACAATTATGTATAATTGCTAATATATATAAATTAGTTTTCAAAAAATTGAGGATTAACCATATTTTACTTTTTCTGAAGATTCTTTATCAAAATCAGCTATAGTACTCTTCTGTTACATATGGTTGAGATCTATCTGAAGTAGGTGAAGTGTCTTTTAATCTCTCACCCACTGACCCCAGTCGTCTTTGAAGTCCTTTAAAAAAAAATTTATAACACCCTTTTATTTTTATTTCTTTCTTACTGTGTYTCTCACAAATTTGCAGTGTATCAGTGTTCAACACTTTGCTTTTCTGGCTTCTAAATTTTCTTTTAAAGGTTAGGAAATCTAAAGAAGGAAGACTACTATATCAGAAATTGTTTAAAACCTAAAAAGAGGTCCGTGGTATAGCTCAGTTGGTAGGGTACTTGCCTCAAATGCACAGGCCATGTGTTCAATCCCCATCACCCCCCCCCCCCCAAAAAAAAAAACTAAAAAGGTTTCTCCTTCCTATAAATAAAATAGATGTTCTTGGCMCCTAATTTCATTTCATTTTAAAAAATGGCTAAATTTGAGGCTGGGATTGTGGCTCAGTGGTAGAGCGCTTGCCTAGCACGTGTGAGGCCCTGGGTTCAATCCTCAGCACCACATAAATATAAATAAAGACATAGTGTCCAACTACAACTCAAAAATAAATATTTTAAAAAAGGCTAAATTTGTTGAATAATTGACTTAAATGAGCTGTTAGTCCTAATTAATTTCTTTGGTACTATATGGGAATTTTATTTCTTTTTGGGTGGGAACTCTCCCAAAGTCTACTTATTGGTCAAATGAATGAATGAGTTAGGGATTTTACATTTAAATCTTTAAACCATTTTGAGATGTAGAGTTRTTWTTCTAAAATAATTTGTGGAACACTTTTGCTTTCTTAACATACATTGTATATTAATTTAAAGACAAGATTATATATACTTTATCTTTAGACATGGAATCTAGACATGTACTTCAACTTAGCTCTCTGTCTTGAAAATTGAAGTTATGGTTCCGACTATTCTGGTAAGTGATGTGTAAATTGTAAATTGAATTCTCAAATTTAGTATTGCGGCTTATATTTGGTAACAAGTCTCCAGAATAATTACATGATAGTCTTTTTTRAAAAATTCTTAGTTGATGTAATAATTATCTGAAGCTGAAATTTTGAATATATGGAAGGAATGAATAGAAGCAGGTCTAAACATAACTCCAGTTGTATATGTTGAGTGAAAAATTGGTGGGAAGTTAATCCAGTTCTTACTCTGTTTCTTGGCATATAACACTGTCTGGATTTTTGAGGAAAGGTTTATCTTCTGTTTTTAAGTGTTTTTTTCCTGGGCAAAAGCTTAATTTAAAAATTTTCTGAACTTTTAGTGGCATAACTTGTCAGTTTTCCTGATATATAAAAGTGAATAATATTGCCTGTCATTTAAGCCTGAAAGAGACTTTTGAGGAACTCGGTAGGTTTTAGCGGATACCATTGAAAACGCAAGTCTCTTCCTAGTTAAGTATAATTTATATAAATACAAATTAATTATCAGGYTCCAGGTAAAAGAATTATTTGAGTGGATTATTGGGTTATTATCTAGTAGCCAAGAGTTAAGTGCATGCTCAGATTAAAATGGCTTTTAATACATACAGTTTTTCTTTTGATATTCAGAAATACAAATTGTRCATTTTATTAATAGAAATGGAAATTTGTGCTTGGTTTGAGTAGGGTGGATGTATATATTTTATAAATTCAAATTGCAAAAATATGTAAAATTACTACTTTTTAAATAGAAAAATGTTAAGATAGATGTCTGTTATATATTTTTAAATACATGTATCAAACTTTTGTTAGTTGAATATAGGTTACTTTGTGTGCTTTATGGAATTCAGTAACTTTTAATAATAAAGCAGTTGTCATTTGATTTTTTTCTGTATACTTGAATACTAAATTAGATAGATACTAGACTTCTTTGTAGTTTATAATAATATAAGACTGAATTTTGGTTCCTGTCTGCAGAAGATAGAGCTTATAAGGGTTATGGAAACAAACATGTCCATTTCCAAACTGAGTGCAACAGAACAAAGGTAGCCACTAAAACTGTGTAGTTATTTATTCAACAGATCATCTTTGCTTAATCATATAGCTAATATATTTTAGTAGTTCTTTATGCTGTGATTAAATGAGTCTTGATTAAAGACTAGATGTTTTCAGAGAAGATAGAAATTGAGAACCGGGCACTTCCTTAGAGTTACCATGAATCTGATGTTGCTGAACTACAACTAAGAAGGATGTACTACTATAAAGAACTTCTGGATGCTTTTCTGAGTATACATCAATTTACTTAAATGAGTTGACTTTGAAGCAACAAGAAGTGAGAAGGAAATAAGCAGAAGAAGGAAATATCGCTGCATCTATTATTCCTGCCAGGAAGAAATTAAATATGCTTTGCTGATGCTCTTTAAGTTTTCTTTTTCACAGGGAATTTGCTTGCTCCAGGAGCATCTTGGTTCTCTTTGGGGCAGCCATACTACCATAAAAATCATATCTCAACAAGCTGTTTTTGCAGACTTAGATTAGTAGATGGTTTCAGG